CAATTTTGTAGTCAAATATTAGGCACTGGTAACACAAGATTGGTCTCAATTGGAAGAGTAAAACTAGGAATAAATGGGAATCAGTAGGTCTTGTACTCATGAGGAAAACATATGAAATATGTGTTGTTACTATTCAGTTTGAAAGTACAATATTATATGGTAAAAAAAAATTATGATATGGACATTGAAGATATAACTGAGGTGTAAAAGACCCACCAGTTTTACTTGATGCACATTCATAAGTGGAAATAGCAATATACCCCTGGCTGGCTACAGGGGTGTAGACAACAGGAAAAGTGTGTATCTTAAGAAGTCCTGGGATCAAACCTCTCAGATAGTGGTTTTTTTTGTTTGTTTGTTTGTTTTTTTAAGATTTTATTTATTTGACAGCAAGAGAGAAAACACAAGCAGGGGGAGTGGGAGAGGGAGAAGCAGGCTTCCCGCCGAGCAGGGAGCCCGATGCGGGGCTTGGTCCCAGGACCCTGGGATCATGACCTGAGCTGAAGGCAGACGCTTAACGACTGAGCCACCCAGGCGACCTGTCCTCTCAGATAGTTTTGACAAATGGTATTTACTATCTTTCCATTAATTCATTACCCCACCCCTGAGTTCTCTTGGTAGTGGTAAGGCTGCCATAAAGAAATATGTGCATTCTCCAAACAGGTCATCATTATTTTGGATCTATTACGTATCATCTTAAGTACTCTGGGGAATTTTGTTAAAATTTAAAAAATTTTAACTATAAGGAGTCCCAGATTTTATTTTATTTTATTTTATTTTTTAAAGATTTTATTTATTTATTTGAGAGAGAGAGAATGAGAGATAGAGAGCACGAGAGGGAAGAGGGTCAGAGGGAGAAGCAGACTCCCCGCTGAGCAGGGAGCCCGATGTGGGACTCGATCCCGGGACTCCAGGATCATGACCTGAGCCGAAGGCAGTCGCTTAACCAACTGAGCCACCCAGGCGCCCAGGAGTCCCAGATTTTAAATGTCTCCAGTAGAAGCTTACTATTTCACCAAGCCACATACGGTAGCCACAATTGCGGTAAATATGTTCCCATTCTGACAATCTTCTGTTTCCTCTATCCACTCGCCCTTATTTGTATTTGCATGATACACTTTCAGTGATTCTGCTCAAATGTCACTTGATCATATGGGCATTGCCAGAAAACTGTTTAAATTAGGAAACCCTACAAGTCTATCACCGTACATGAACATACTTATGAACTTAGCATTATCATATTTTATCCTTATAGACTTATCCCTTATGGAATATAAGTAAACATGTAATTGTGTTTGTGGGACCAAATTCCCTATTCCTGTAACTTTCTAACTTAGTATTCTGAACATTTTGTCATAAATTCTCATGCTATATTTTGTTCACATTGTGAATTTTAGGCAACATGTGCCAAACAGCTCTAATTCATCAGTGAAGGGATTATTTTTTTAAGATTTATTTGGGGAGGGGGAAGGGCAGAGAGAGAGGGAGAATCTTGGGCACACTCCCCGATGAGTGCAGAGCCTGATGTGGGACTGTCTTGTGACCCTGAGATCATGACCTGAGCCAAAATCAAAAGCTGGATGCTTAACTGACTGAGCCACCCAGGCGCCCCTGAAGGGATGTTTTAATAAAGCTTTTCTAAGCTACAAAATTTTAAATTCAGGAACCCCTTTCAAATGTTCCATTCTACTCTCAATACAAAATATGAATCTTATTTGTCAGGACAGTTTTTGTGAGTGACAGACCTCCTGGAAAACAGTGGCTGAAACAAGTAGGTGGTTTATCATTTCCCAAGTAACAGGAAGCCCAGAGTTGTAGTGTTGGATGTGACAGGTCCCCTGGGCAGTTCTCTGCCTGCTCTACCTCCATTAGCAGCCTTCTCTCCTTATAGCAGGACGGCCACTGTATGACCGAGGGTGAATGGTGAGGGGCAAAGCCCTTTTCATCATTAGGTTTTGTCTTGCTTATGTGGAAATGATAATCCTAGTAAGTTTTTCCAATTAGCTAGAAATTTTAATAATGCAATTCTTAATAAGGATATTAGGGATTTTTCAAATCTCATATTCACACCTAAACAACAGAAGGTAAAAGAAAAAGGTGTTAGAGAAAACATTTTGCAGACCAAATTAAAAATACCCCTTATTAATATTAAATGACAAGGTAGTCAAGGGTAACTGGGAAGAGACAGATTTTATCAGCGGACTTTGTTCTTTATCCTTAAAGTATGTTCCATGCAACCCATGACTTGATAGGTGTTGCAAATGAGATTCAAAAATTACTAGTTCAGCGTTTTCTAACTTAAAGATTTATTTCCTTTGAAATTTATTATAAGTTAATTTATCTGAACCTAAAACTAAAATAATTTGCCAAGTTTCAATACAGATATTCTGATTCTAGTATCTTGGCAGAGAAATGAAAGGACTGATTTTGAGATTCCATTCATTCCATTCTACCTTAAAGTGAGAGATCTACAAAAGGCTTGTAGATGGGACACACTCTATCACTTCCACATGTATTTTAATATTAGACTCTAACTTAACAATATAACTGTGACATCATAAGTGGAAAAATACCTTAGGTAATTTATCTAAACAGTATTTCACCATTTTCATCAATCATATTGTGCTGCGGGGTCTGTACGTGCACCAGGAAAACGAAGGTAGTGTGTTAGCATGAGGAAGACTGTGGTCTTTCCCTACAAGTCAGGAGTAAACAGCTAGTCTGACTCCATTTTTGATGTCTGACGAACGATACCTGTTAGGCCTCATTATAACCTCTTACTATGCTGCCCATCTGGGCAGGGCAAGCTCATAAAGCCCGAGAGCCCCTTCCCTTGGCATTAGTTGAAAGTTCACACCATAAGTGAGTGCCATCACCCCAGCCCCACATAGTATCCATCATAACGAGCCAGTCATCATTCCCTGTGTTCTCTAGCCATTTTTAGAACAACCTGAGGAGGTCTATCCTGCTCTCTCCAGAAAGCATCATTATGTAATAAACGTTCTCATAACACTTTATTGTATGAAGTCCTCATTCATGACATCCAAACATCCTCTTCCAGTGGAGTAAGCACAAGTGCAAACTAGCAAAAAATGTTTTAGAGGGTAAATATATGAGACTGCTAGTTATCAAAAGAATCCCATTGTGTCAATCTTCGTTCTTGAGAGTAAACTTGACGAACACTGATCTTTTCAACTTATTTCCCTCAGCACTCCAGCACAAAAGAGATTATCTTTATTTCTGAAATCTTCTTTTATTTCCTAGTACTTTTCACATGCTTACTATTTTTCTATTTTCATTTCATGTAAAGGTGCAACCCATGGGTCCCATTTCAGCACAAAAGAAAGGCATGTAGAAATGTAATCGTAGTGTGTGTTCATGAACAGGGAGGCAGGTTTTTAGAGGGTGAGAGTTTGAAATTGTGTAGCTTTCAAATTGAAATTATGAATATGTATTTCCAAGACTGTAAGGTGTGTGAATCTAACATGGAAAAAAGTTGTTAGGGATGACATTCAACTTAGGGAGCCCAAGGATGTATTATTAGTGTTCACTATAAAATGCCCCGATGAGGTGTGGGATGCACTTGGGCTAATAAAAGGCACGTGGTTCATTCAGTGTTACAAAAAAGGGTTTCTATTTTACTTATTTAGATATGAGAATTTATAATATCCTAAATAAAATGGTATCAAAATGCAATTTCAGTGGCCAAATTTGAATCCTTCACAAGCGTACTACTCTGGTTCTTTTGATTAAAATGTCCTCTAGAACTTTCTCTTCAGTTTCCAAAATTAAGACTAATTTCTACTAATCCATGATACACAACTATTACCTTTCAAAAGAGAGATCATCATTCCCCCTCCATTTTCTCTACCACATATGCCAACCCCAGTCACCTGTCCTACTCACATGACAATCTCATCCTCAGGGTCCTGGCCTACGCTGTTTTATCATCTTCCTTCCCTGTAATCATCAACGAAGGCCCTCAGTCATACCACCAAATCCAGAGAAGAGGCTGTGATCACAGAAAACATGGCAACTTAGGTAACAGTTTTACACTATTCCCTGCCACTCCCTATGCTCTCAAACTTAACACCATACCGTATCTTAAAATCAGGGTCCTAGGTTTTCCTGGTTACATAGGTATGAATAAGCCCCAGCTAATGAACTAGGTCCTTTCACCTTACCGATCCCTTCTGAGACCATCACGGTGACACATGAAATGCGTGTGATTAAAGTATAACATCAGTGGGTTCCAAACTTCAGGTTGTAAGTCATCAATAATAATGCAGCCTCAGGAAACCTCAAGTAATTGAGTAAAAAAAAAATATAGTGGCTTCTGGCTGGCTCAGCCAGAAGAGGAAGTGGCATCTCTTGATTTTGGGGTTGTGAGTTTGAATTCCACATGGGGTGTTGATATTACTTAAACTATTTTAAAAAATGGTAAGCTGAAGATAATTACGTCTTTCCACAGATACCCTTGTTCTGTTGATACACATCATCTCATTAGTTTTAAGTAATTTAAATTTACTGTGGAATTTAACATCTAAGATTGGTTAATCCTCAAAATAGACCTACTTCCCCGAGTATGAATTTTCTTATTGTAGTCCATTGAGAGAATTGGCTAAATAAATTATCACCTTCATTATATTTGTAATGTTTCTGTCCAGTATGAATTCTTTGGTGTTTCCTGAGGTAAGGACCTTGACACATTTATATGGTTTCCATCTCATATGAATTTTCATGACCACAAAGTTGTAGTTTTTTTTTCTTTAATCACTGGAAATTTGTACCTCTTAGTCACACTCCCCTATTCCTCCCCCCCAAGCTGTACATTTTTTTATAAAGCTGATCACACTCACTACATTTGTAAGGTTTCTATCTAGTAAAAACTGTTATGTTCCACAAGGTATAAACTTTGGATAAGCCTTGCCATACATTACATTTGTGTGCTTTCTTTTAGAGATTTATATTGTTATCAAGTGAGGTGTAAACCCCTGGTTACAGGCTTTGCCACATACATTAGTTTCATATGGTTCCTCTCCATGATGGAATACTGATGTTGAATAAGGCTTGAACACTTGCTTAATCATTTTATTTGTAAGGTTTCTTTCTACTGTGATTTCTTTGATGATCCCCAAAGCTTGAGCTTTGAATAAAACCACTGCCACACATACTAGATTTATAATGTTTCTTTTCACCATGTATTTTCTGATGCCTAGTAAGTTTTGCAAACTGGGTGAAAGCTTTGCCACACTCATTACATGTATAAGGCTTCTCTCCAGTGTGGATTTTCTTATGCTGAGTAAGATGTGAACGCTCCGTAAAGGCTTTGCCACACTCATTACATTTATAAGGTTTCTCTCCAGTATGAGTTCTCTCATGACCCCAAAGGTGAGAACGTTTAATAAAAGCCTTATCACATTTATTACATTTATAAGGTTTTTCTCCTGTGTGAATTCTTTGATGTTCCATAAGGCTTGAACTTTGGATAAAAGCCTTGTCACACACATCACATTTGTGTGGTTTCTCTCCAGTGTGTATTTTCTGATGCCTAGTAAGGTTTGCAAATTGGGTAAAAGCTTTGCCACACTCATTACATTTGTAAGGTTTCTCTCCAGTATGGATTTTTCTATGTTGAGTAAGATTTGAACGCTCAGCAAAGGCTTTGCCACACTCAATACATTTGTAAGGTTTCTCTCCAGTATGAGTTCTCTCATGACCCCACAGGTGTGACCGTCTGATAAAAGCCTTATCACATTTATTACATTTGTAAGGTTTTTCTCCTGTATGAATTCTCTGATGTTCTATAAGGCTAGAACTTTGGATGAAAGCTTTGCCACATACAGTACATTTGTGTGGCTTCTCTCCAGGATGTGTATTCTGATGTCTAATGAGGTGTGAGCACTGCTTAAAAGCTTTGCCACACTCATTACATTTGTAAGGTTTCTCTCCGGTATGGATTTTCTTATGTTGAGTAAGGCTTGAACGTTCAGCAAAGGCTTTGTTACATTCATTACATTTATAAGGTTTCTCTCCAGTATGAATTCTCTCATGACTCCAAAGGTGGGAACGCTGGATAAAGGCCTTACCACATTCATTACATTTGTAAGGTTTCTCTCCAGTATGCATTCTCTGATGATTTGCAAGGTTTGAATTTTGACTACAGACCTTGCCACATATGTTACATTTATATGGTTTCTCTCCTGTATGGACTCTCTGATGTCTAGTGAGGTTCGAACACTGGTTAAAGGCTTTGCCACACTCATTACATTTGTAAGGTTTCTCTCCAGTATGGATTTTCTTATGTTGAGTAAGGTGTGAACGCTCCGTAAAGGCTTTGCCACACTCATTACATTTGTAAGGTCTCTGTCCTGAATGAATTCTCTCATGACTCATGAGGTTTGAGCTTTTGCTAAAAGCCTTCCCACAGTCATTACAGTTGTAAGATTTTCCTCTAGTGTATGCTCTTCTGTATTGTGCAGGTAACAAAGGATATTTTAAAATCTTCCTATATTTATTCCAAATGTTTTTGATATTAGATGGAATTCTCTGAAGTGGTGAAACAGAGGAATCGTTCAAAGATTTCTCAACCTGATTACATTCATACATTTTTTCCTCAGTATGAAATCTCTGCAGTTCAGCCAGGTGTGCCTGCAAACTTAATCCAATTCTATTTCCCAAACAGTTTATGTACCAATTTCCAGCATCACTTATGTTATTTTCCAGTTTTAACAAATGCCTTACAGATGGCTCATCAGGCATGAAATATTGGTATGTATTATTTTTTACAGAAATACTCTGCTTTTGAGGAAAAGTAATTGAGGATTTATTAAGCTGTTGATCTTTTCTATGAGTGAGATTTTTGTTATGTGTCAAAGGCACTTCTTTGTAATTTCTTGCATCATATCTCCAATGACTCTCAAACTCATGCATATTTTCCCAGTCTTTCTTGAGATCAAAATCCTTGATGCTATGGCTTTCATTTCTCTCCAGTATCACTAAGTGGTATAATTCTCCTTCATTAATGTCCTCTATTGGTGGTAATTCCTTGATTTCAAATCCAGCAGAAAGGCATCCTATCAAATAGAAGGTAAATATTTTATACTGAATTACATACTCATACAAAAAACATGCTTATAGTGAACATAAGAAATTTCTCAAGCACAGTCTTCAAACACTATTATAATATACAAACACTACTGTAATATATACTGTTTTTAAAGTTTTCTTTTTATAAATTTTTCCATATTCTCTGATCTTAAGATAAGTTTCCTAAACATACATTATAAACTATACATATTTTTTGGCCAGATACCTGGATAATTGATACTTCGTGATTAGGGAGCTGATCTATATACTGGCTGTTATATAACTGTACATGAGATCATAATTGAGGTTTCTGTCTTCCCTAATTCTTAATCTTTATAAAAATGTGTTTACCTGAACCTGTTATTTCATAATTCAGTGATTCTCAACATGTCTTTCATTTCTCCTACTGTGTGTTCCTTATGGAATGTAAATTCTTTTAGTTCTCAGGGAAGAATTCTTTAGAATTCCAGAGACTATTATTTTGTGTAACTGGTTACTTAACCTGCTAGATTTATCAACTGTTTAATTTTAACACACAGCTTTCTTAAAATACCTTTTTTCTTTCATCATACCCTATACATTATTATTAAACACCAGATCACACTGCTGTACTGAGCAAGGTGTACTGCGTATGAATAGGGGTCTTTCCTTGTATGGGTGATGTGGTGTGGGGAGGGGCAAGTCCTGTGGAAACAGGTGCTTTGGTGCTCAAAATTAATATACCAGGAGATACCAGTAGTTTGTTTAGATCAATGAAAAATCTGAGCAAAGGCCAGGATTTGGGTTCAGAAAAGCAAGAGTGAAGCACAAGGAGTAACAGGAAAAGTGGGAGCAGTGCTTGTGCTTGCACATCTATGGTGATATGATTGTGTTTTAACAGTTAAAAGCCTGACCTTGAAAAAAGAGAGGAGCCGATTTGGCAACAGGAAGAATACTGACTCATTCTGTAAGAACTTACACTATGGGTATGAGGTGAAAGTGGAAGACATTCAACAGGGAGACAGTATGGTCTTATAGGAAGATTGTAGGCTTGCATTTATTTCAGTATTGGCTCCAAAAACTATCAAACTGTGGAGCACCTGAGTGGCTCAGTCAGTTAAGCATCTGACCCTTGATTTCGGCTCAGGTCATGATCTCAGGGTCATGGGACTGAGCCCCATGTTGGGCTCCACACTCAGCACGGAGTCCGCCTGGGATTCTCTCCCTCTTCCTCTGCCCCTCCCCCTATCTCTCCACCCCAGCTCACACCTCTCTAAAAAAATCAAACTGAATATCCCACAAATTCCATTTCTAGGTATATAGTCAAGAGAGTTATACATAATATATATATATATACACATATATATGTATACACACACACTATATGAGATATATATAGATATATTCCAGACACATTTAAGAATGTTCTTAACAGGACCCCCAAAAAGCAAAAACCTGGATATGGCTATCAAGAGGAGAATGGATAAACTCACTGTATAAACACATGCAGATACAATAAAATACTCTCAAAGGTACAGCAATGGAAGATGATCATGGGTACTGGATGACTGACAATCTTCTGGCTAGGGGCACGAAGGTTATATGGTGGAAAATAAGTTAGCAGGAAGCTTTTGCCAAGGTTTAAATTCTTTGGGGATGTTATTATATTTGGTAAAAAAGTGACATTAACTAAATTATATACTTTTAAAAAGAGAAACAACAATTTATATAAGATTTTTAATCCAAATGTCCTTGCTTGTTACAGAAAAATAACAATGTCTTTTTCTGGAATTTGTAAATTATCTGAAATCATAATCTTCTTTTAACATTACAATCCCAGACATACAAGAGACATCAGGTGAGAAGTGCTTTTAACTAGATGTGTGTGTTGTGTGTGTACATAGTTACATAATCTGACTTCAAAAACATCATCAGAAATTAGTGCCCCTAAGGAGCATTACTAAATGATCTAGAACACAGAATGTTTATATGGAAGGACAATGTTAATAGCAGTATTTAAACACAGAAACAATTTTTGGCTGTGTCACCGTGGTCCATGGCAGAGGTCTATGTGCATAGATGTGGTTAGCAACATAAGCAGCCAATCACAGAAAATCAGGACAGCAATGGGATGTGTGTCAACAAGGACCAGGTGACTTTTTTTATGGAGTTCAGTTGAAAATGAGGACAGGAACAAAGCAGGCTTCATGGGTTTACTGAGATACATAATTTCAAGAGCTTAAGAAATTTTCTGGGAAACCCAAGTATTAGGAGCAGTAGTAATAAGGAAACCATAGAGTATAAAAAAACTTCCTTTGTTTCCTTCAATAAAATGAGATATCTAAATATTAGATTAGTATACCAAGATGTACATGATGAATCTAAACAAGAATATTAGAATAAATTATTTGTAACAAGAAAAAGTAAAATGAAAATTAAATTCAAAAGTTATTTTCAGAAAACTACATATAAAGGGAAAAAATAATGTATCTTATACAGAAAGCTAAGGCAAGTCAATTGAATGGTATTTCTGTGACTAAGGCAGTAACTTAAAAAGTATGTCCTCAACATACCACAGTTTATCAGCTTAAAGAATGTCATATATTTAACTGAGGAAAATGTGTGTTAAACAATGAGATACCACTACACATTTATGAATAGCCAAAATCCAGAACACTGAAATACCAAATACTACTGAGGATGTGGAATAATAACTCTCATTCATTGCTGGTGGGAATGCAAAATGGTATACCACTTTATTATAGAATTAAATATACTCTTAAATATGATCTAGCAATCAAACTCTTTCGTATTTATACAAATAAGTTGAAAATTTATGTCCATGTAAAAACCTGGGCACAAAATAGAGAAATCCTACAATCTGTATGGAACCACAAAGGACCCTGAATGGCCAAAGCATCTTGAGAAAGAAGAACGAAGTTAGAGGCATCACATTCCCTGATTTCAAACTCCTTCATTACAAAGCTGTGGTAATTAAAACAATATGGTATTAGCATAAAAACAGACACAGAGATCAACAGAAGAGAACCCAGAAAGAAACCCACACACACAATCAATTAATTTATGACAAAGGAGACATGAATATACAATGGGGAAAGGACAGTCTCTTCATGGTATTGGGAAAACTGGACAGCCACATGCAAAAGAATGGAACTGGACCACTATCTGATACCATACACAAAAATTAACCCAAAATAGATTAAAGACATGAACTTAACACCTGAAACCATAAAACTCCTAGAAGAAAAGATAGGGGGTAATAAGCAACTTGACACAGGTCTGGGCAATGATTTTTTCTCACTCTTGACACCAAAAGTAAAAATAAGTGGGACTTACATCAAACTAAAAAAATTCTGCACAACAAAGGAAACCATCAACAAAATGAAAAGGCAACCTACTGAATGGGAGAAAATATTAGCAAATCATGTATCTGATTAGGGGCTAATAATCCAAAATAATAGCTAAAAGCCCCCAAATAATCCAATTTAAAATAGGAGCAAAAGATCTGAATAGACATTTTCCAACAAAGACATACAGAACCATGAAAAGAAGCTCAACATCACTCATCATCAGGGAAATGCAAATCAAAACCACAATGAGATACCACTTCACACCTGTCAGAATGGCAGTTTATCAAAAAGACAAGAAATAAAAGTGTTGGTGAGGGGATGGAGAATTTGTGCACTCTTGGTAGGAGTCTAAATTGGTGTAGCCAGTATGGAAAACGGTATGGTCATTCCTAAAAAAATAAAAAACAGAACTACTGTATGATCCACCAACTCTTCTGAGTATTTATCTGAAGAAAACAAAAACACTAACTCAAAAAGATAAACTGTTCACTGCAGCACTATTTATAAGAGCCATGATATGGAAACAGTCTAAGTGTCTACTGATGGGTAAAGATGTGTATATACAATACAATATTATCCAGCCTAAAAAAAAGAATAGAATCTTGCCATTTGTGACAACATGGATGGTCCTTGAAGACACTATGCTAAGTGGAATAAGTCAGCCAAAAAGCCCAATACAGTATGATCTCTCTTATATGTGGACACTATCATCTTCTCAGAGGGTTACTGGAAGGTGGCTTCCTTGGCAAGATGAAGTGACTCTGTGTCCTCTGGACCCAACATTGTCAGTAGTGAAACATTTCTGTCTTGGTCAAAACAGGTAATATGATCTTATATATTGAAATTTACTTTTGTAAACAGGAAGAGAAATACTGAAATAGGAAGAACATGGCCAGTAAAGCACAGCGGGGGGGGGCAGTGTCCAAGGGGAGCATCGTGGGTGTTGTGACCCACATGACTATTTGTATGAACACAGTTCCAAGAGGCTGCAGGTGGAACTGATATGAGTTGAAACAAAAGTGCTCCCAAATGTGCCTAAGTGCCTTTCATCCTGGAAAGTTAAGATTGAGAAATTTTTAGCATTTAACCTCAAATCCTCCCAGTCATGAAAATCCATTTTCGGATTGTTATTGTAGACCCTACAGGAACCTAGTTTACAAACAAAATCTCAATAAAAATTATCTCCTGCAGCCTTTAAACTCAGCCTTCAAGAAAGTCAAACGAGAACCCCCAGAATGGAAGAAAATATTTGCTAATCATGTATCATCAGATACATGCAAGAGACTTGCATCTAGAATATATAAAGAACTCTTTAAAACTCAACAACAAAAAGACAATCCAATTTTAAAATGGACAAAGAATCTGAAAAATATAGAAAAATGGCCAGTAAGCACACAAAAAGATGACTATCATTAGTCATTAGGGAAGTGCAAATCAAAACCAGAATGGCTATAATCAAGGATGGCTATAATCAAGGAAACAGATTACAAGTGTTGGTAAGGATATGGAGAAACTGGAATGCTCATACATCCCTGGTGGGAATGTAAGATGGTGCCGTTGCTTTGGAAAATAGTCTGGCGGTTCCTCAAAAGATTAAAGGGAATTACCGTATGAACCAGCAGTTCCACTCCCAGCTATATGCTAAAGAGAAATGAAAAGTGTATGTCCCCACAAAAACTTGTACAAAAATGTTTATAGCAGCATTATTCATAATAGCAATAAGGTAGAAACAACCCAAATGTCCATCGATGCATGAATGGATAAAGTGTGGTATTCATACATGGAATATCATGTGGCAATAAAATGGAATGAAGTGCTACAAAAACCAAATAGTGCGCACACGCACGCGCGCACACACACACACACACACACACACACACACACACACCTGCATATGAATGTTTATAGCAGCTCTACCTGTAATTGCCAAAACTTGAAAGCCAGCAAGGTGTCTTTCAGTAGATGAATGGAGAAATAAACTGTGGTTCATTCAGACAATGGAAATATTATTCATTCAGCACTAAAAAAGAAATGAGCTGTCAAGCCAGGAAAAGACATGGAGGAAACTCAAATGCATGACAAACTGAAAAGGCTACATATCCAGTTTGATTCCAACTTTATGACATTCTGGGAAATGCAAACCTATGGAGACAGTAGAGATCCATGTTTGCAGAGGCTAGGAGGGAGGGCGAGATGACCATTTTATTGCTGGCTCAAAGGAGATCATATTATGTCTGATCAACACTGTCACTGCCTTAGGGCAGCACTGTTAAACTGCACAGAAACTAGGACAACTCGAGGCATGTTATCACTCCGATCTGACACCTTCTATCTCAGTACCCTGGGACATGCGGACCACTCCATCTGGTGGGTTCAAGGAGCACTTCTTTATGCAGCAGCATGATATTGTAACACACTCATCAATGTTCTTCTTCAAGAATTTTGTTACCCAGTAAACCTCCTCCATGGGAGAGTCCACTGTGAAGCTGTGTGTCCCCTAAAGGTGGATTCTCACAGCAGGAAGAGAGGATGAAACTTTAGACCCTTGGAACTGGATTTCATAAAAGCAAGTTTCAGAGGCAAAATCTTAGAGGAGAATAAGAAACCAGGAAGACCAGGGTCTTCTATGTTCCAGGACTAAGTAGGGAGCAGAAGAGGGAGAAAAATACAAGATACAGGAGTAAATAAGAGGGTCAAATTTTGTGGGGTTCTTGAAAGGGGCTGTGTGCTCTACCCAGAAGGCAGGGTGAATGCCTGAATGACTGGGCTATACCCCCATATGGCAGTGGGGATCAGAGAGCATCTGTCTCTAGTCTTTAGATTACTGCTGGGCCACAATCTCAGAAAGACCCACCCCATTTCTTTTTAGACACGAATGGCAAAATGAGAACTGGAGAAATGGCTGAGGGGCCTGAACAGGCAGAGAGGGCTTGACACAGCTCCATGAAGTGTCATGGAGCCCCAGGGCAGCCATTTTGTTTGTCTCTTGATAAGTTCTCCCAAGGATATAAAATGGAAATGGAAATTGAATAGGTCCTGGGGTCAGCACTACAGAGGCCTCAGCTCTAATCTGTATGGAATGAGAACCAAGAGAAATCAAGGGGAAAGACTCCTTAGAGGCAGCCATCTCAGTCCCTCTCAAACCATGGCACCAATATGGTCAGAAGGGCCAGGTAAGAATGTTGCAGGTCATGACAATGGGAGTCTAAACTTTTACATATTTGATTTACACATTTGAATAACAGACTGAGAAGTGTGTATGGGGTGGGGGGAGGGTTTTCTTTGAGAGCTCATAAGAAACTTCTTTATTTTCCCATAGATCTTTCCCAAACAATATTTAATGGAGAAGCTTACTCTGCCCATCTGACCTCCTACTTGTGTTCACATCCCAACGCATTCCCACCTGTCTGCATTTCCCCCTATATTCACTTCACTTTCCACAGTCCAGGGCTCTTCCCCTTGTTCCAAAATGGAGATAACATTCAGCTCAAGAGACTTCAAATTATAGAGAAAAAAGAACATGATATGCTTTGCTCTTCCAGAACATATTCCCGGCTCTTTGTTCAGTGAAGAAGAAAGGACATTCATTATATGTGGGCGTAGAAAAGTAGTTCAGAAATTAGTCAACTGCCTCCTTCTGAATGCTTGGGGTTATTTTATGTATGCAGATATTTAGTTCTCTTCCAAGAACTACTGAATCAAAAGCACAAGGATAAGACCACAGAATCAGGTATTTTTTAAAAATTCACTGTAGGGTTTTCTGACTATTAATGTTCTGCAATCACCTAATGAAGCAGGAAAACGCAAAACTTCTGAAGAAAAGGAAAGTTAGCGTCCACTTGACATTTTGAAGCCTTTCCATTCTCAATCAAAACAGCTTCAATCACTCCCTTAAGAACAGGGATTTGAAACTCATACAATCAAGTCAGGGGCTCTAAAGAGAAAATGCAAAAATATACAAAAGTAATTACCGACTTCTGGAGGGAAACTATCCTCACCCAGGGAGACCAGGTTCCAGTAGTTCTCCACCATCACGTCCCTGTACAAGGCCCGCTGAGCAGGGTCCAGGCACTCCCACTCCTCCGGAGAGAATTCTATGGCCACATCCCTGAAGGTCACCCGTCCCTGAAATGAAAACACATTTCACCAAGCGGAGAGACAGAGTGTTCTGATTTTGACACAAAAGAAGCAGAGATGTGTAAAGTCTGACTTGACTGGAGTGAGTGTTCCAACTGATCTGTGTAAGATAATTCTGAGCAAGTTATAGTTCTCTAATTTTCTTACGTGAAACTCAACAAAATTAGCCATTTTTAGATACCATTCGGTGGCATTTAATACATTCACAGTGTTGAACAAACATCACCTCAGTCTAGATCAAAAACATTTTTATCATTCCCAATGGAAATCCTTTACCCATTAAGCAAGTGCTTCCTATTCCCCCTTTCTTCCCCAGTCCCTGGCAACCACTAATGCTTTGTCTCTATGGATTTACCTATTTTGGATTTTTCATGTAAATGGAATGGTATAAAATGTTACTTTTTGCATCTGGCTTCTTTGACTTGGAATCATGTTTGGGGTTCATCCATGAGGTAGTATGTATCAGTACATTGCTTTTTTATATGGCTGAATAGTATTCCATCATAGGACTAGACTGTATTCACTATCTATCGATGGGCATTTGGTTATCACCTTTGGCTAATGTTAATAATGTTGCTATGAACTTTCAAGTACAAGTAGATGTTTGGATACCTGTTTTCAATTCTTTTGGTTATATACTTAGGAGTGGAATTACTGGGTCACATGGTTTAATTTTTCAAGAATCTGCCACTGGTTTCCACAGCAGCTACAACATTTTAACAGAATGTGTCATGATTCTAATTTCTCCCCATCTTTACCAACACTTTTTGTTTTACTATTCTCATCCTAGTGGGTGTGAAATGGTATCTCATTGTGGTTCTGACTTTGCATTTCACTAAGGACTAATTTCATTGAACCTCTCTTCAGTGGCCTGTTTTGGTTGTTTATTTTCTATGGAGAAATGTCTATTAAAATCCTTTAACCATTTTTAAAAATTGGGTTCTTTTTATTTTGGTTGTTGAACTGTAGAAGTTCTTCATATATTCTAGGTTCTAGACCCTTACTAGATACGTGATTTGCAAACTATTTCCTCCCATTTGGTAGATTATGTTTCACTTATGTGATAATGTCCTTCAGTGCACAAACATTATTAATTTTGATGATGACCACTTTATCTATTTTCTTTCTCTTTTGCTTTTGGTGTCATATATTAAACCCACTGCCAACTCCAAGGTCATGAAGACTTACCTCTATGTTTTCATCCAAGAGTTTTAGTTTTAGCTTTTACATTTGGTCTTTGATTAATTCTGAATTATTTATATGGTACAAGGTAGTTTCAATTTTATTCTCTTTCACATGGATATCCAGTGTGCCAACACCATTTAAGAGTGTTCTTTTTCCACTGTTTTTGGCACCCTTATAAAAAAGGAATTGGCTATAGATGTATGGGTTTATTTATGGATGCTCAGTTCTATCGCTTTGATCTATACTTCTAGCCTCTGCTGGAGTTACAGTTTTGATTACTCAAGATTTGTAGTAAGGTTTGATGTTGGGGGGCGCCTGGGTGGCTCAGTTGGTTAAGCGTCTGCCTTCGGCTCAGGTCATAATCCCAGAGTCCTGGGATCGAGTTCCACGTTGGGCTCCCTGCTCAGCAGGAAGCCTGCTTCTCCCTCTCCCACTCCCTCTGCTTGTGTTCCCTCTCTTGCTATGTCTCTGTCAAATAAATAAAATCTTTAAAAAAAAAAAAAGTTTGGTGTTGGGAATTCTAGGTCCTCCAACCTTGTTCTTTCTCATGTTAATTTTGGTTATTTTTGGTCCTTACCAAATCAATGAGTTTTAGAATTTGTGCAAAAAAGGCTGTTGAGATTTTGCTGGGGATTGCATTACTCTTTATCTCACTTTGGGGAGTACTACCATCTTAATGTCTTCCAATCCACAAACACAGGCTATCTTGACATTTATTTAGGTTTTAATCTTTCTCTGCAACTTTGTAGTTTTCAGTGTGTACAAATCTTCCATTTCCTTGGTTAAACTTATTCCCATCCATTTTGATGCTCTTGTAAATGGAATTGTTTCCTTACTTCCAATTTGTTGACTGCTAGTGTACAGAAATACAACTGAATTTTGAGTGTTGATATTGTATTAATTCAATGAATTATCTCTAATAGTTCTTTTGAGGATTATTTCTAAATATAAGATCATGTATTCTGTGAATAGACATAGTTTGATTTCTTTTCCAATTTTGACACATTTTATTTATTTTTCCTCTATTTTCTCTGGTTAGAACTTCAGTACAGTGTTAAAGTGTGGTGACAAAATGGGGCACTCTTATTTTGTTCTTGGTATTAGGGTTTAAGTTTTCAGTCTTTTACCACCGAGTATAATGTTAGCTGTGGAATTTTAGTAATACCTTTTTTTTTTTTTGAGACTGAGGAAGTTCTCTTCTATTCCTTATTCTTTAGTGCATTGTTTTTGTTGGGAGTGTTCTGTACATGTCTGCTAAGTCTAGTTGATTTAGTGTTGCTCAGTCCATTATTTCCTTACTGATATTATGTCCGGTTGTTCTTTCCATTATTAAAAGGGGAGTATTGAGGTCTCCAACTATTATAGTAGAGCTCCTCAATTTTTGCTTCAAAAAACTGGGGGCTCTGTTGTTATGTACATATTGTTCATAGTTGTTTTATCTTCCTGATGGATTGACCCTTTTTTCAAAATGTAATGTCCTTCAACATCTCTGGTAACAATTTAATAACTTAGTCTATTTGATCTATCATTTGTATAGCTACCCACCTAGGTTTCATTACTATTTGCATGGAGTATCTTTTTCCAACCTTTCAGTTTTTTTTAAAAGATTTTATTTACTGGGCGCCTGGGTGGCTCAGTTGGTTAAGCAACTGCCTTCGGCTCAGGTCATGATCCTGGAGTCCCAGGATTGAGTCCCGCATCGGGCCCCCTGCTCAGCAGGGAGTCTGCTTCTCCCTCTGACCTTCCCCCCTCTCATGTGCGCTCTCTCTTTCTCTCTCTCAAATAAATAAATAAAATCTTAAAAAAAAAAGATTTTATTTACTTATTTGACAGAGAGACACAGCAAGAGAGAGAACACAAACAGGGGGAGTAGGAGAGGGAGAAGCAGGCTTCCCGCTGAGCACGAAGCCTGATGTGGGGCTTGAGCTCAGGAACCTGGGATCATGACCTGAGCCAAAGGCAGACCCTTAATGACTGAGCCACCCAGGCGCCCCCAACCTTTCACTTTCAACCTATTTATGTATCTAAAGTGAGGCTTTTGTAGCTATAGAGTGAAATAATTTTTAAAAATTAACTCCTTTGTCTTTTATTGAAGAGTTTAATCAATTTACACTTCAAGTTACTACTAAGTATGACTTCTGCCTATTTAGCTATTTGCTTTCTGTATGTCTAATATTTTGTTTCATAATTCCTTCCTACTTTGTGTGCATACCATTTTGATTGCCTTTGTCATTTTTCTGTATATTTTTGTTATTTTTTTGAGTGGGTACCGTGGGGATTACAGTTTACATATTGAACTAGTAGTATTTGAATTTCAGTTGATATTAACTTAGCTTTAATAGCATATAACAACTGCTCCTATACAGTCGCCCCTTATGTTCTTATTGTAAAAAACTACTTCTTTATAAACACAGATGAACAGATGTTTAATACACTCAAAAGCAGATTTTTATTATTGTTTTCTACATTTGTCTTTTAGGTCACACAGAAAAAATTGAGTGAGAAAACAAAACTATAATAATACTGGCTTTTATATTTACCTATATAGTTACCTTTACTAGTGTTCTTCATTTGTTCCTATGGCTTAGAGGTAGTGCTCGTTTCCATTCATTTCAGTCTGAAGAACTCCATCTGGTATTTCATGTAGGCTAAGGATATTAGTGTGAACTTCCTCAGCTTTTGTTTATCTAGGAGTCTCTTAATTTCACTATCAATTTTGAAGCACAGTTTGCCTGATAATGAATTCCTGGTAGATTTTATTTTTAATCTTTCAAACTTTAAATATCTCATGAGATTGCTTCCTGGCCTCCAGTTTCTGATGAGAAATAAGCTGTTAAACTTCTTGAGAATCCATGAGAAGTTGTTTCTGTCTTGCTACTTTCCACATTCTTTTTGTCTTACAGAAGTTGATTATATGCTTGCCAGGGATCTCCATGCATTTCTCATAGTTGAAGTTCATTGAGTTTCTTGGATGTGTAGGTTAATGTTTTTGATAAATTTGGGTGGTTTGCAGATCTTATTTCTTCAAATATTCTTTCTGCTCTTTCTTCCTTGTCCCTTCCTTCTAGGACTCCTATTACATCAGTATTCTTTTTTTTTTTTTTTTAAGATTTTATTTATTCATTCAAGACACAGAGATACAGAGAGAGAGCATGAGCAGGGGGAGAGGCGGAGGGAGAGGGAGAAGCAGGCTCCCGGCTGAGCCAGGAGCCAGACATGGGGCTTGATCCTAGGACCCTGGGATCGTGACCTGAGCCGAAGGCAGATGCTTAACCATCTGAGTCACCCAGGTGCCCCGTTTTTTAAGTTTTATTTATTTATTTTAGAGAGAGGGTATGTGTGCAGGGAGGAGGTGGGAGGGAGGGGGAGAGAGAGAATTGTCAAGTAGACTCCCCATTGAGTGTGGAGCCCGATGCAGGACTCGATCCCAGGACCCCAAGATCATGACCTGAGCTGTAATCAAGAGTCAGCTGCTCAACTGACTGAGCCACCCAGGTGCCGCCCCTATATCAGTATTCTTGATAGTGTCTATGGTGTCCCAAAGGTTTCTTGGTCTCTGTTCATTTTTATTTTTTCCCCTTTCTTCTTCTTTTTCCCTTTTCTTCTGCTCACACTGGATAATTTCAATTAACCTATGTTTAAGTTCACTGATTCTTTATTCTTCTTGTCAATCTGCTATTGAACCCTCTAGTGAATTTTCAATTTTGGTTATTTTACTTTTTAGCTCCAGAATTTCTATTCTATCCCTTTACCATAATTTCTACCTCTTTATTAGTATTTTCTAATTGTTGAAACATTATTCTCCTACTTCTTAGTTCTCTTCCATGGCTTCCTTTAGCCAAATATGTTTAAGACAGTTGATTTAAAATCTTTACTTAGTAAGTGGAATGTCTGGCCACCTCAGGAACACCATCATTATCAGGTTAACCTGGTAATCATGCTTAAGATATACAATCTGGAGATATCCTTAGATATCTGTAGCGAAGTCAGCCTGCTCAGAAGCAGGCATTCTTTGTAACAATAAGAAATTGTAGAGGACCCATGTATCTTCATTTAGAGACTGGTCCAATGAGGATCTAAAAAAGCAGTTATCTCTATGTTTACTAACATGAAAACAACTCCAAGACACATGGTATGTAAATATTTAAATTTACAAAATATAATCAAACATTTACTGAAGAATATTTTCTCAAATATAAATGCATTTTTGTAAGATTTTTATAATAGTTACTAAAGAGAATATTGGTTCCTGGTGAAGACAATCAGTGATGGTGGAAGATAAGATGGGAAGGGGATATTTTACTTCTTAGGTTCTAAACTCCATCACTGTGTGGAACTGAACCACAGAAATATATACCAGAGAGGTTTAATACAAAAAAACAAAAAACAAACAAAAAAACAACATTTAACAATAATTAGTAAAATCAAAATTTAGCCCCAGCCTCTCTAATGACAGAAAGTTCTGCTGTTATGTGTTGGCTAAATTATAAACATTTTTATCTAAAAGATCTGCTGTGTAAGAGTTCCTAAGACCTCAAGAGTTCCATAAAGACCTCATGGTCTTTATGAGATGGGTGTGCAATGAATAATTTAAAGAACACTTAGACAAGTTGGTTGATTCTACATTTTAAAACTAATTATGTAAATAAAACAAAACACCCTCTCTATTCCTTATTCCTACTTTGAATTTCCCATTCTCTTCCAAAGTATTAGTATTTTGAAGTCAGAAATATACTAGTTTCCAGTTTAACGTCAGAAGACATTTATAAAATTAGAAAAAGCAAATATCCCCCATCAGTCTTCTTTTCCAGAGTTTCTCAAGTATTTGTGCACATTAATAAATACATCACTTACATATGTAATCTTTTTAATCTTGATTTATATGAGCTGAAAGGGCATCCATAAGGGGTCTCTGAAGAATCCTTAATGTCCAACCTCACTGACACCACAGAGTCTACTCCCTATCTCCAGTCAATGCCTGCACAGAAAATTCTTCACAGGATGACCACCTAAAAGCCTCTTCCCAAGTTCCATGTCACTGGGTCACAGTGAGATGGAATCTGCATGGAGATGAGAGGAGACCGGGAGAAAGTGTGAGTAAACATTTTAGGCAAGAGAACAATCAACTAAAAATATGACTTTTACCTGGGGAAGAGCCATTCCTCCTTTTTCCCCTCTTCTTCTGGGCTTCTTTCTCAGATAAGGTTATTCTGTGTGACAAAAAGAATGTTTAATGCTCAGAATCAACATAACCCCTTCCTCTGCCACAATATACATACTGGGAGAACCTTAATATGGGGGAAAGACAGCCCTTTGCTGCTAACTGCAACAGGAGGGAGACAGGGACAATAACTCCTATATGGAGGGCAACAAGTGCATTTTTCACCCATTTCTTCAGAAAGCCCTCCCCTCCTGCTGAAACCCACACATTCTACTGAAACTGCATTGTCTTTTGTCCCCTTGGCACTTGGCCAAAGGAACTGCCGCATTCAAGTTCTTGGCTCCTCCCTAGGCAGCCAGCATCCAATAAATGGTTGATGCAGGATACAGAAGCCTGTCCATTCCATCAATTTGGACCAACTCTTTTTTTTTTTTTTTTTTTGGACCAACTCTTGATCTTAAGGGCCACCCCAGCTCCAGAGCTCCTCCCAAAATCATTTCAGAGATCTTATTAGCTCAGATTCAGAATTCCTGGTCTATCATCTCCATTTCACAGGCGGGTGCACTGAGTCTCAGAGGTGGACTATTTTTACCAAGTTACCCTTAAGAGGTCTGAATTGAATGAGCAGACCTGGGCATTAGTAAATTCTGAAATGGTAGCCCAGACAGGTTTAAGTAGAAAGGGCTTGTCCTAGTTCCAGATTACCTTTCATGTTCCTGAACAAGAGAAGATTCTCTTTAATGGGTTTAATCAAACCCAAGTTAATTTAATTCCTCTTTTCCAGAAAAAAATATAATAAAAAATATATGAAATTGAAAACAGTTCCTAGTCTTGAAAAACATGAAGAAGGGTCACCTGTGGAGATGAGATCTGAGCAATCTCTGCATCATAAACAGATGGGCTCTGTTGGAATAAAGTTCCACATCAATCCAGCCCATCCTCCCAACATCTGCACAGAAAAGACAAAGGGGACTTGAGGGGAACATTTACTTAGTTGGAAGCTTCTGCTCAGAGCCCAGTAATTTCATCAGATCACTTAAAGGAAGGGAACTGCTGAATATGAAACTAACTGTCTAAACTAGATTTTGAGTGTTAAAAAAGAAAATCATCAACATCCTTAATGGATGCATAATGAAATACTATAAAATTATTTACCAGACATCAAACAATAATTCCACTACACGGTAAAGTAGAAAGCACATAAAACTCATAATCTGAACAAAAAATTAAGGCAAATCATTTCGAAATTAAAAGATATCCAGTGGATTCTGCGATTAAGGTTAACACAAGGGTGAAGCTACATCAGATTTAGAAAAGAACGACATGAGCCACAGAAAAAAGGGGGAAAGAGAAATGGTACTGTTAATAATGGCCATTTTGGAAAGCACCGTGCGGTGACACAAAGTCTTCCCCCATTTCTTGGAAAGGAAGAGGCTGACCCGGAACTGACTACGCCAGGCCTCTGCCCTCTAAATGAATTGGGGTTGCAAATGGAATCACCTTCTGATGCAATAATTAGAAAGTGCAGATGCCTCAAACACCTGGTTTCACAACTCTCACTCTCTTCTGCATCACTGAAACAACTCAACAAAAAATTTTTTTAAAGATTTTATTTATTTATTCATGAGAGACACACGGGGGCGGGGGGGGGGCGGCGGCGGGCAGAGGGAGAAGCAGGCTTCCCGCCGAGCAGGGAGCCCGATGCGGGGCCCGATCCCAGGACCCGGGGGCCGTGACCCGCGCCGAAGGCAGACGCTTAACCATCTGAGCCGCCCAGGCGCCCGACTCAACCCATTTTAATTACAGAGCCACAAATCAGTACTTCCCAACTCCATACTCCACATCCAGTCAATTCAGTACTCACCTGGGTTTGGGTCCTGCGCCTTCTCCGAGACCACTATGTGTTTTGTTCTCTGTATCTGTCTCTTTGTCCTTGTTTCTCTTCTCTCCTTTTGTCCATCTGGGTTTCCCTGTTTCCGCATCCTTCTGTCTCCCTCCCTCGCTCTTCCTCCTCCGACACTTCGACCCCAGTCTGCGGCAACCTGTTTCAATCCCTGCCGTTCTTTCTGCCCAAACTTTCTGACGGCCCCTAACTCCGCAGACCCCGGCCTCCTGCCCGCCATCTCTGTCGCCCCCCTGCCCTCCCTGGAGCGGAGCGAAGGGCCTGCATCCACCGTACGGAGGAGGCCCTGTGCCGACGCGGGTGGCGGCGGGGGCGGGAGTCCGAGAAAGGCTCTGAGCAGGAAAGCGACCGGCAGCGCGATCGGAGTCTACAGGGGCCGAAGGCAGCGATGCTGGCGCCCGCACCCGCCTCAGAGCGATTTTAACCGGAATCGCAGACTCCCGGGTCCCGCACCGAGCGACAGGACTCGGAACGTCATCCGGCGACGCCGCGAGAGGCGATAGGAACGACCTCCCGGCTAGAGGGACGAGGGGGTTCAGGGGTTTTACCTTACCAGGCGACCCCCGAAACTGGGCGTGGAGGAGGGGCCTGAAGAGCGCGCCGGCGGCACGAACCAGAAAAATGGAGACTCGCTCACCGGAGCGCTCCCGTTGCTCCGCGCGATCCGCTTCCGGGTCTGCAGGCAAGCGCGCGTGCGCCGCGCGGCGGGGCGGGGCTGGGGGCGGGGCTGGGGGGCGGGGCCTGGAGCGCGCGGGGTCCCGCAGTTTTCGCGTGTGTTTGTCCCTTCGCCCGGCGGTTTCAGTTTCTGCTTTTGGATTCCTTCGAATTCCGCTGGTGTCTTTTGGAGCGAGGCTGGGTCCGACGTTAGGGAAGTGTGGGCCGCTTTTATCGGAAGCGGCGGTATTTGACAAGCGGAGCCCGGTGCCCGTCCAAACTTTGGCGAGTGGTGGAGACGCGCCTCCTGCGAGGGAGGCGGAGCAGCGCGGGGACCGGGGGCGGGACGGGGGTCCTTGTGGAGCGACCGAGCTGACAATGGCAGCTCCTAATTTAATTGAGCAAAAGCCGGGGCGGTGAGTGTGGGTGAGGGAAGCCAGAATGAGAAATGCAGAACGGCTCTGTGGGGAACGTGCAGTTTTGTACTGACGTCCCCCACAGCTCTTCTTTTTCACGGAATGGTCTCTTCTGCTCCCCCATTCGCTGGGCTGCGCTCCTGGGACTTCGGCCAGACCCTGGGCTGCGGAGACGGAGGACTGGCACGTTCCTCTAAAAGAACCCAAATTTCTGCCTGTATGGATGTAAATTAATTTCTCTCTTTAAACTTGATATCGGAATCCGCACCTCTCCAGGTGAATTAGAAATCCAAACGCCTTTGAAACCTACCGGATGGCATCCTGTGTTTTGCTTACGGAAACTAAATATCGTTGCAATTTCAGTTTTCTAAAATCTTTATTCTCAGTTATTTGGAAGAGCATTTTTAACTTGAAGATTAGGTATTTTAACCGACCTTTTTTTCAGTTTCTAAATGCTTTTTTAAAAAAAATATTTATTTATTTGACAGAGCGCAAGAGAAGGGACATAAGCAGGGGGAGTGGCAGAGGGAGAAGCAGGCTTCCCGCTGAGCAGGGAGCCCAATGTGGGGCGCGATCCCAGGACCCTGGGATCATGACCTGAGCCGAAGGCAGATGCTTAAGACTGAGCCACCCAGGCGCCCCTCTAAATACTTTCTATCAAATGCAGATAAGGAGCCTTGTAAAAGGTGTACTCCTTCAGAGATGTTTAACTTTTTCCTAGTACTGACGAAATGTTAGTTTGGAAATATTTCCAGAGACATGTGCTAAGGATGTCTGTTCTTTATGTGAACAATACAAGCAAATAAAACTTTTTTTTCACATTTTCAGTACCATCATATACACTTAATAATTGCATATGAAATATGAAAGTTACTAGCTCCTCTTCTGTTTCCTGTGAAATTCTGAGGGTGGTGTGGCTGGACCTGCTTTTCACACCCTCTCTGTTAGGTGACTGCTCACTCGCTGCTTAAATCTCTGCAAGGAGTGGATGAACAAATGACTACACATCGTTTAAACAATTTATAATAGTTTTTGGCTATTGTATCATTTTAGGGAGTTGTGTATTCCTTTTGCAGCATGCAGAGAAGACCCTAGACCTGGCTCCAGAGAACAAAAGGGCTGATTGTTGGGAAACATGGAGTGATCAGGGCAGAGGGGTTCAGCAGCCACCAACTGGGATTTTCAGAAAGAGCCGAATAAAATGAAAAGGTGGAAGAGAGCATAAAAAGATACAAAGGCGCTTACCAAGACAAGGATGCTTTGGGTAGCCCTCATGTCGGGAAATTCCGGAGGAGATGTTGTTCCTATGAATGTGCTGGACCCCCTGCTTCTATCTTAAGAGGTTGAAAACTCTGGAGATGCTGGCCCAGATCACGAATCCCAACCGAAGACATGAGGGAAGATTAAAAGTACAGCAAGTGGTGATTGTGTGATCTTATTCAGAATCCCTGGTCATATTTCTTTGTGACATTTTTGCTGTTCATTTTGCTCCCAGTCCTGGGAGGAGGGAAAGTGGCATTTACCAGCATGTCCAGGATCAAGCAGCTGTTTGTTAGAGAGGTACCGGGGAGCTTTTATTTTAAGCTCTATTATCTTGGAGTTTCTGGGGCCAATTATCATGCTCTGGAAGACATTCAAGAAGCAGTGGTGCCAATGGATACACCACTGGCCATTCTGAACATACAAAAAAAACTTGTATCAAAACTCAACAAGGACATTTTTCAACCCCAGAGCTGTCAGCGAGTGATTCCTTTAAGGACAATGAGCCAGACATTGGCTACAGTGAGGTGGTCGAGAAGGAGGTCATAGGAAAGAATTCAACCATGTTTTACTTATTTTTTACCATATTCTCTTTTGTTTGACCTTTACCTTGCTATAGGATGTGAAGAATAAGACCATTTGTTGTCATTTTTAAAAAGGATTTTATTTTTTTAAGTGATCTCTACACCCAGTGTGGGTCTCAAACTAATGACCCAGAGATCAAGAGTTGCGTGCTCTTCTGACTGAGCCAGCCAGGCACCCCTCTTTTATTGTCATTTTGATAGGAATTCCCATTTCCCAAATGCCAAGCATTAATGATGTTATCCCCACTGTAGTTTTTGCTGATTATTAACTTTTCTTATGCACTTTGGCATACTTCTGAATTTTTAACTTCACTAATCTAATAGTCTGTTCATAAATAAACATCTCATAAGGATAGCTATACTCATTTTGTTTCTTTCCTAGAGTTTTTGTCGCTATTCTTGTTATTCTATAAGGTTTTTGTAGTAACATCGCTAGTTTGAAAAACTGATGGTATCTATATCAGGATCAAACTAAATTTATAAACTAGCTTAAGGAAAATTGACCTTTTTACAATATTGAGTTTTTCTACCCCAGAACATGTTGTAAATTTACATTCACTTATTTTTACTTTCATATATTTCAGGAATGTTTTATAGTTTTCCTCATATAGGCTTTACACATTTTTGTTATATTTATTCCTGGTTAGTATATTTCATTTTATGTTACGCTTTTGTAATTGCAGGCTCTCCCATTGTAACTTGTAAATGATTGTTGGAAGCCTATGTACAGGGGTGCCTGGGTGGCTCAGTCAGTAGATGGTGTGACTCTTGATCTTGGGGTCGTGAGCTCAAGCCCCATGTTGGGTGTAGAGGTTACTTAAAAATAAAATAGCAATAACAATATATATACAAAAATAAAATAACAATATATCCTATTAGCTTACTGAATTATTTTTCTTAATAGATTTTCTATCAGTTCTTTGTGTTTCCAGATATATACTTGTATTGTCTGCAAACATAGTTTTTACGTCTTTGTTTCTAATTCCTATGCCATTTTAAATTGCCCTGGCTAAACCTCCAACTCAATGATAAATGAATGGAACAATGATAAATAAATAGAACACACTAGCTTTTTTAGTGTGGTTTCTGGCCTTAGTGGAATATCTCTAGTGTGTTTCCCTGAGAGCAAGATGAACACTTTCTTTTATCAAGTTGGGGAAGATCCATCAGTTCCCAATTTTGAGTGTTTTAATTTAATATCCGTACATGTTGAATTCTCCCAAATAATGTTTTTGTAACTACAAGTAAGATTTCTTGATTTCTCTTAATAAATATGATGAACAATATTAATGAATTTTCTAATAGTGAATCATTCTTGAATTCCAGATATAAATTCTACTTGGTCATCATATGTTATTTGTATATTATTTTTCAGGGGTTTTGGCAATATTTATTTTAGATGGTACCATCTGTAGGCTGATGTGAGATCTTTCTGTGGTATTCTTTCTGGTACAAACTTTAGGATGTTTTAGTATCAGAATTTTATTTGACATGTAGAGATAATTTGGACATTTTACTTCTTCTGTAATGTTCTTGAAATGAGTAAGTAGCATTGGCTTATCTGCTACTTAAAAGAATGGAAGAATCTGGGGACACCTGGGTGCCTCAGTCAGTTAAGCATTTGACTCTTGATCTCAGCTCAGGTCTTGTTCTTAGGGTTGTGAGTTCAAGCCCTACGTTTGGCTCCATACTGGGCATGGAGCCTACTTAAAAAAAGGTGGGGGGGAGAATCTGCTTGCTAATCTGATTCTGGTGCTTTTATTTGTGAGGGACTCCTTATAAATGTCTTCCTTCTCTATGGGTATTGGTCTGTTTAGACTCCCTATGTTACTGAAGGCAATTTTGGTAAGAGATATTTTCCTAGAAAGTGTCCATTTTATTTAGGCTTTCTGGTTAATTGTTTTAAGTTGGGGAAAACATGGCAAATATTTTTAAATCTCACTTATTGACATCATGTTCTTTCTTTTGCATTGATTGAAAATTTTAAAAATTTATTGTACTTATTAAAAATCTTAAAAATAGAAAATCCTTCTTGGGTCATTTGTAAGATTCTTTCTCTCTGCCCATAATTAAATGACGGTGGTACTCAGAGGTCTGAGGATTAACAAAGACTTGGACTGGGGTAAAAGAAGTTCTCAGGGAAGCACGGAGTCCCATGAGGCACCTGTGCTTCTCTGGTGGGCTTTCATGGCTCAGACCTCAGCATTTCCTCCTTCCATGTGAGACCCTGTCTGCTTCCAGGAATAATGGAAAAGGAAGAGTCTCTCTCAAACACTTCGGTGGACCTTTGGATATGCTCATTAGAAACTTCTAATAGATCCTGGTAATTAAAAAGTTTTTCAGAACTGTTCCCCAAGTGTGAACTGTCACTGTCACTACAGGTGACATGATGATTACATTTCTTTGGGGAGGTGAGGTCACAGAATCACTAACCCATATCTCAGGGTCTGGCTTCCTCCCGTCCACACATGCTTTGGCTGCTACTTTACACCCGGCTCACAGTCCTGGCAGCAGGAAGGAGTCTGTGAGTATCTCCTAGTTTAGTCCGAGACTAGAGTCTCGAAGGTTAGGAGATGCAGCTGGAATCTGGGTAGGAGCAGGTCTGGGAAAGCAGTCCTGAGGGACAGGCTGGGCTTGTGGAGAGAGACCACTAAGTCAGTGCATGACTGCTGCTAATGTAATTTAACAATATCCTCATTTAAAGGGGTTCTTGGTGTTTGATCCAAGTGCTTTTGGAGTCTGAATTTTAAGATCCTTCAAGATTGTAACTTCAGAATTAGTCTGCTATTCAGTACAGTGCGAGAGTCACAGGGACATTTTCAGGAGCAATACTGTGATTTCTGTAAAGGCATGTACATATGATAACAAATATGATGGAACGAATTAAATTACCTGATTCACAGCAGAAAAAGTGTGACTGGGAATTGCTGAAATTTATTCTTCTGTAACTTGAGTGTGACGAGCTTAATGGAGACAGTAAATGTGTCTCTACGGAAAATATCTGTGGCCTCTTGTTCTGTGAGACAGTTTTCTTCCCTGAAATTAAGAAAGGTCCCTTAAGAAAAGTTAATTAACATCATAATAGAAGGTTGCAAAGAGCAAAAACTTAAGGACTTTATATTTTAATTTAATTTTAAAATAAGGAATTAATTTAAAAATATAATCTCATCAGAAAAAAAAATTTTAAGGTTCAAATGTTTCTTGCTGTATTTTCTCTGGTTTAAAATCATTTCAGGGGCACCTGGGTGGCTCATTTGGTTGAGCGTCCGACTCCTGACTTTGACTCAGGCTGTGGTCTCAGGGTCCTGGGATCCAGCCCCGCGACAGGCTCCCTACTCAGAGGGGAGTCTGCTTGTCTCCCTGTCTCTCTGTTCCTCCCCCTGCTCACACTCTCTCCCTCTCTCTGAAATAAGTAAATAAATCTTTTAAAAAGCCATTTCAATATTATTACCAGCTCACTATTCACCTCTCTTGCTTTTCAGTTATTAAATGCTCAAGGTTCCAAGTCTTCAAATTCCATTTTGCATGTTTGTATTGTATTTTAATAGCTTTTCCGAATCAAATATCAGTTTGAGTTTCAGTGTGTTTATTCTAAAATAAGAAACATACAGTGATGTGATCTTTATGGGATTAATTTATTTCCTGCCCTGATATGCTTTATCACTATTTATGTTTCATGTCCCATATTTTAGCAGTAGTTTTGTGCAATAATTTCTGTTATGGGTGCCATTGTATTTTTGGTTCAGGCAAAAAATGAAATGAGTTTTTCTGCTGCCATCTTAACATTTGTCTACATTAAATAAATCAAATTGGCTCATATAAAATTACTCAGTGCATCTATAATTTATTAGGGCCTCTGAATCCTCACTCCTTAGTTATATTGGTTATAAAAGAAATACTTAGACAAAAATGGGAAACTATCAAACCAAGTTTATATAGTAAAATAAATTTAAAATATGAGGTGTGTGTGTGCGCGCGCACCCATAGCTAGGTACTTAGCATAGTATAGTATAGTAGTAAAACACTAATGTCGTTGCACCTAGGCTACCCAGGTTCAAATCCTGATTCTACTGCTATCTAGATGAGTCAATTTACTGCCCATGGTTAAATTCTCCTCATCTATAAAATGAGAGTTATATTAGTTCCTTACTCATAGAGTTGTGAATTTTAAATAAGTTAGAATAGGTAGAGCATTAATAACAGACATTTTAAGTGCTATAAAAAGAAACACACAAAATGGGAAATCTCTTAATAAAAGAGTATATTTTAGATATTAATTTTCAGGGGGAAGGAAAGGTAAGTGGAGATTTTATTTCCTGTGAAAATGCAGCCCAAAACTCATGTTTTCATGCAGAACCCTCTGCCTGCGAATTTGATTACTGAGTTCTGGAGAATGACAGAATGGCCTCGGTGGATTTGAATATAGGAATGATCTTGCTATTCCAGATAGTCGTTGGAATCCTGGGGAATTTCTCACTCTTATATCATTACACAGCCCTTCACTTCAGGGGATGCAAGCCAAGATCCACAAATTTGATTCTCAGGCACCTGACTGTAGCTAACTCCTTGGTCATTCTCTCTAGAGGAGTCCCAGAGACCATGGCAGCTTTAGGGTTGAAACATTTCACCAATTATTATGAATGCTACATTCTTTTATATGTTCACAGAGTAGCCAGAGGTGTGTCCATTTGTTCCACCTGCCTCTTGAGTGTCTTCCAGGCTATCATGATCCGCCCTGGGAACTCCAGGTGGGTAGAGCTTAAAGTGAAAGCTCCAAAGTACATTGGCTCCTCCAGTACCCTGTGCTGGGTGCTCCACATGGGGGTAAATATGTTTTTTCCTATTTATATGACCGGTAAATGGAACAACAAAAATAATACAAGGAGAAGAGGTTTGGGATATTGTTCTTCACAGCATCGTGCCAAGATCGCAGACTCAGTGTATGCAGCAGTGACATCTTTCCATGACAGTTTGGGTTTGGGACTCATGACCTTGGCCAGCAGCTCCATGGTTTTCCTCCTTTACAGGCACAAGCGGAGGGTCCAACACATCCGTAGGAACAGTCTCTCCCCCAGACCCTCCCCTGAGTCCAGAGCCACTCAAAACATCCTTGTTTTGGTGGCTACTTTTGTATCATTTTTTGCCCTCTCCTCCATCATTTATGTTTACCTGGCTCTCTTTGATGATTCCAGTTGGTGGCTGATGAACGCCGCTGTACTAATCACTGCATGTTTTCCAACCATTAGTCCCTTTGTTCTCATGAGCCATGACCCCAGTATATCCAGGCTCTACTGTGTCTGCTGTGGAAGAAATACATAATTCCCTCATCTCATCAAAGAAATATGAATTGTCCTCCTTTTCAGTCGTGGATGCTCTCAGACCTCAAAGCATGTTAAGAACAATTATGAACCAGTTTCATTGCAGAGAGAGGGGTGAGCAAGACAGACTGACAGTGGCCTAATATGAAATAGTAAATAACAACAGCACGGTACATGAACTCTTCTGTAATTAACATGTGTGTACTTAGATAGTTGTATTTTTATTAACAGTTACAGTGTAGAAGTTAAGATTCCATAGAACAGTCCTGAAGTAATGTGAAGATACTGGAAATATCTTTGAATGTGTAACTTTCAAATTGAGATATATTAAAATTTCCCAAGATGTACCTGAGCTTGGAACTGTAAAGACAGTCAAATAAGAGGGAATAGCATGTGGGTAGTCTTTCCAGAAACTAGGGATGGGAGCGGTGGTCCTGATTTGTGATGCAAATGGCCTGGGATGAAGCTGGAGGGAAATATCAGGTTTTACTTATTGCTGGCTCTGGAGGCTGTGTTGCAAATATTGTGCTTTATATCCTAAGAGAAACTGGGGACATTTGAAATATGATAATGCTAATGGAGAAAGATGAGCATATTAAAATATTTTCAGGTCAACATTTGAAGAGTAAACCGCAGGGGACAAAGAGGAACATAGGAAGATGTGTCAGTTGAATTTTACAAAGGGTGCAGGTGGGAGGCAGCCAGTAAACAGATTGGGTGTGTAGGAAACGATTGAATGGACTTTGGGGATGTTTAGAAGGTAGATTGTTCTGTGTTAAATCTTGGTGGCAGTTGGCTATGTTGGCGAAAAAGACATTTCAAGACAGACTTCTGCTTTTCCAACTTGAGGATACAAGAGGTTATAAAGGAGCATTTCACCAAGCTTGGGGCAGTAGATAAGTAGCAATCTGAAGCTGGAAGATGTGAATATATTTTGTTTAACGAGGAGTATTATCCCTTTTGAAATCCCCACTGGAGCAAAACGGACACCTTTGAAAGGAAAAATAAAAGGGTATTAACTCAAACATAGAAATACTTTAGGGCGGGGAGCCTGGGTAGCTCAGTCGTTAAGCCTCTGCCTTTGGCTTGGGTCATGATCCCAGGGTTCTGGGATCAAGCCCCCGAGTCGGGCTCCCTGCTCAGCGGGAAGCCTGCTTCTTCCTCTCCCACTCCCCCTGCTTGTGTTCCCTCTCTCACTGTCTCTCTCTCTCTGTCAAATAAATAAAAAAATTTTTAATTTTTTTATTGTTATGTTAATCACCATACATTACATCATTAGTTTTTGATATACTGTTCCATGATTCATTGCTTGTGCATAACACCCAGTGCTCCACGCAGAACGTGCCCTCTTTAATACCCATCACCAGGCTGGGGCGCCTGGGTGGCTCAGTTGGTTAGGCGACTGCCTTCGGCTCAGGTCATGATCCTGGAGTACCGGGATCGAGTCCCACATCGGGCTCCCTGCTCAGCAGGGAGTCTGCTTCTCCCTCTGACCCTCCCTCCTCTCATGCTCTCTATCTCTCATTCTCTCTCTCTCGAATAAATAAATAAAATCTTTAAAAAAAACAAAAAAAAACAAAATACCCATCACCAGGCTAACCCATCCACCCACCCCCTCCCCTCTAGAACCCTCAGTTTGTTTTTAAGAGTCCATCATCTCTCATGATTCGTCTCCCCCTCTGATTTATCCCCCTTCATTCTTCCCCTCCTGCTATCTTCTTCTTTTTTTTCCTTAACATGTATTGCATTATTTGTGTCAGAGGTACAGATCTGTGACTCAACAGTCTTGCACAATTCACAGCGCTCGCCATAGCACATACCCTCCCCAATGTCTATCACCCAGCCACCCCATCCCTCCCACCCCCCACCAGTCCAGCAACCCTCAGTTTGTTTCCTGAGATTAAGAATTCCTCCTATCAGTGAGGTCATATGATACATGTCTTTCTCTGATTGACTTATTTCACTCAGCATAACACCCTCCAGTTCCATCCACGTCGTTGCAAATGGCAAGAGCTCATTCCTTTTGACGGCTGCATAATATTCCATTGTGTATATATACCACCTCTTCTTTATCCATTCATCTGTCGATGGACATCTCGGCTCTTTCCACAGTTTGGCTATTGTGGGCATTGCTGCTATAAACATTGGGGTGCACATACCCCTTCGGGTCCCTACATTTGTATCTTTGGGGTAAATACCCAGTAGCGCAATTGCTGGATCGTATGGTAGCTCTATTTTCAACTGTTTGAGGAACCTCCATACTGTTTTCCAGAGGGGTTGCACCAGCTTGCATTCCCACCAACAGGGTAGGAGGGTTCCCCTTTCTCCACATCCCCACCAACATCTGTCATTTCCTGACTTGTTAATTTTGGCCAATCTGATTGGTGTGAGGTGGTATCTCATTAAGGTTTTGATTTGGATTTCCCTGATGCCGAGCGATGTTGAGCACTTTTTCATGTGTCTGTTGGCCTTTTGGATGTCTTCTTTGGAAAAATGTCTGTTCATGTCTTCTGCCCATTTCTTGATTGGATTATTTGTTCTTTGGGTGTTGAGTTTGATAAGTTCTTTATAGATTTTGGATACTAGCCCTTTATCCGATATGTCATTTGCAAATATTTTCTCCCATTCTGTCGGTTGTCTTTTGGTTTTGTGGACTGTTTCTTTTGCTGTGCAAAAGCTTTTTATCTTGATGAAGTCCCAATAGTTCATTTTTGCCCTTGCTTCCCTTGCCTTTGGCGATGTTTCTAGGAAGAAGTTGCTGCGGCTGAGGTCAAAGAGGTTGTTGCCTGTGTTCTCCTTTAGGATTTTGATGGACTCCTGTCTCACATTTAGGTCTTTCAACCATTTGGAGTCTATTTTTATGTGTGGTGTAAGGAAATGGTCCAGTTTCATTCTTCGGCCTGTGGCTGTCCAATTGTCCCAACACCGTTTGTTGAAGAGACTGTCTTTTTTCCATTGGACATTCTTTCCTGCTTTGTCGAAGATTAGTTGACCATAGAGTTGAGGGTCCATTTGTGGGCTCTCTATTCTATTCCATTGATCTATGTGTCTGTTTTTGTGCCAGTACCATACTGTCTTGATGATGACAGCTTTGTAATAGAGCTGGAAGTCCGGAATTGTGATGTCACCAGCTTTGCTTTTCTTTTTCAACATTCCTCTGGCTATTCGGGGTCTCTTCTGGTTCCATACAAATTTTAGGATTATTTGTTCCATTTCTTTGAAAAAAGTGGATGGTATTTTGATGGGGATTGCACTGAATGTGTAGATCGCTCTAGGTAGCATTGACATCTTCACAATGTTTGTTCTTCCAATCCATGAGCATGGAACATTTTTCCATTTCTTTGTGTCTTCCTCAATTTCTTTCGTGAGTATTTTATAGTTTTCTGAGTACAGATCCTTTGCCTCTTTGGTTAAATTTATTCCTAGGTATCTTATGGTTTTGGATGCAATTGTAAATGGGATTGACTCCTTAATTTCTCTCTCTTCTGTCTTGTTGTTGGTGTATAGGAATGCCACTGATATCTGTGCATTGATTTTATATCCTGCCACTTTACTGAATTCCTGTATGAGTTCTAGCAGTTTTGGGCTGGGCTCTTTTCGGTTTTCCACATACAGTATCATATCATCTGCAAGGAGTGAGAGTTTGACTTCCTCTTTGCCGATTTGGATGCCTTTGATTTCTTTTTGTTGTCTGATTGCTGTGGCCAGGACTTCTAATGCTATGTTGAATAGCAGTGGTGAGAGTGGACATCCCTGCCACATTCCTGACCTTAGGGGGAAAGCTCTCAGCTTTTCCCCATTGAGAATGATATTCGCTGTAGGTTTTTCATAGATGGCTTTTATGATCTTGAGGTATGTACCCTCTATCCCTTATACTCTGAAGAGTTTTGATCAAGAAAGGATGCTGTAGTTTGTCAAATGCTTTTTCTGCATCTATTGAGAAGATCATATGATTCTTGTTCTTTCTTTTGTTAATGTATTGTATCACGTTGATTGATTTGCGGATGTTGACCCAGCCTTGCAGCCCAGGGATAAATCCCACTTGGTCGTGGTGAATAATCCTTTTAATGTACTGTTGGATCCTATTGGCTAGGATTTTGGTGAGAATTTTTGCATCCATGTTCATCAGGGATATTGGTCTGTAATTCTCCTTTTTGATGGGGTCTTTGTCTGGCTTTGGGATCAAGGTAATGCTGGCCTCATAAAATGAGTTTGGAAGTTGTCCTTCCATTTCTATTTTTTGGAACAGTTTCAGGAGAATAGGTATTAATTCTTCTTTAAATGTTTGGTAGAATTCCCCTGGGAAGCCATCTGGCCCTAGGCTTTTGTTTGTTGGGAGACTTTTGATGACTGCTTCAATTTCCTTAGTGGTTATAGGTCTGTTCAGGTTTTCTATTTCTTCCTGGTTCAGTTTTGGTAGTTTATACATCTCTAGGAATGCATCCATTTCTTCCAGGTTATCTAATTTGCTGGCATAGAGTTGCTCATAATATGTTCTTATAATTGTTTGTATTTCTTTGGTGTTGGTTGTGATCTCTCCTCTTTCATTCATGATTTTGTTGATTTGGGTCATTTCTCTTTTCTTTTGGATAAGTCTGTCCAGGGGTTTATCAATCTTGTTGATTCTTTCAAAGAACCAGCTCCTAGTTTCGCTGATCTGTTCTACTGTTCTTTTGGTTTCTAGTTCATTGATTTCTGCTCTGATCTTTATTATTTCTCTTCTCCTGCTGGGTTTAGGCTTTATTTGCTGTTTTTTCTCCAGCTCCTTTAGGTGTAGGGTTAGGTTGTGTATTTGAGACCTTTCTTGTTTCTTGAGAAAGGCTTGTATTGCTATATACTTTCCTCTCAGGACTGCCTTTGCTGTATCCCAAAGATTTTGAACAGTTGTGTTTTCATTTTCATTGGTTTCCATGAATTTTTTAAATTCTTCTTTAATTTCCTGGTTGACCCATTCATTCTTTAGTAGGATGCTCTTTAGCCTCCATGTATTTGAGTTGTTTC